TTGATACAAGTCCAATAAAATCGAAGATATATCCTGTTTCTGTCACAGATTGGAACTGAATAATATGCATGCTTAAGATCAACCGAAGTAAAGTAACAGTCTTTTGGGACCAAATATAGACCCGATTTAAAAGTATCCATCTAAAAATTAGATGAATCAACATTTTCATTTAGATTGCGCAGATTAAAATTCTGAGAGAGTTGTCCATTTTTACCCGATAGAAAATGTTTGGAATATACTCTCCAGGTTCGTGACAGCATTTTACAATATCATCCTTCATATAAACTATACATTCATTTGGGAAATGACTTCAAATGAGATAATTCAAGGAGAAAAAAACAACTCTTGCAATAGTATTGCATTAGTTGGTCGCAATAGCATGTTGCAACAGACTTTCGCTTTTGCAATAGTTGTGTCCCCCTCAATAGTCACCCCTAGGCAGCATTTGATTCAGTTTTTAGGGGTGGTCTTTTGTGACAGCGTAATATTAAGGGTGGATTTTTCGAGTGATTCAAAATGGGTATCTTAACGTAAAGTCATGTGTCTCACTAAATGAAGGTTTCACCTCTTTCTTTGATTGTATGTGCGGTGTTCGACCGGGCTGTCAGTTGTCGCTCTTTCTCTTTTCTCTACATGTAAATGATATCACTAACTTCTTGGGAGAGGATGATCAGAGTTGTATAGAGATGGGAGTTCTGCAGATATTTATGTTACTATTTGAGACGACATGGCGGTCGTCGATAGTACGGGTAGGTTGTAGGAAAAAAAATCATAGGGAAAAAAGTCATAAACTCAAAAAAGGTCAGTATTGATAATGTATTTATTTAACAAGTCATAACAATACTATCATCAACAGCACTACCACATTTGAACCTGGCTTATAAAATTAATGTAATAATTCAAGTAAAATACATGACATCATAAAATGCACTATCATCATAACACTATCATCTGCAAAAGCACTACATCAGTCAGTTGTCCTAGCATAGTTTATTTAACCGAATGTTCCAGCCAATGCCGTGAAGAGTATGAGTCACAGTCTTACGGCCAGCCATTCTGTCCAAACACAGATTACTTAGTTTCTTTTGGAGCTGGATGTGACTAGTTCTTTTTCCAAGTAATTTGCGTAAAATAATAGAAACAACCATGTGACTGAACATCACGCCCAAACACAGTTACAATCGCACGAAGAATAGTCTTTTTGCGAATAACTGGAGAACAGGATGTTTTTAATATTGACGAGGAAAGTGAAATACATAAAATTCAGTATGAACAAAGTAAAAAAACTGGAGAACAGGATGTTTTATAATAGTTATTTTTCCTATGACTTTTATTCCGTGACTTTTTTTGCTATGACATTTTTCCGTCCACCTACGGGTATAGGACTACAAAAGAGGCCAGATAAATTATGTAGATCGATTGTGATAAATGGCAACTAAAGGTTAATGTAGAGAAAACTAAAGTGATGGTATTTTAGGAGGCTGGTAAGCTTTGAAAATATTATTTTTCTAGTTCAGGTTCATGGTACATTTCTCAGAAAGTTCTCTCAGAACATGCTTTGAGGGTTCTTAGAATTGTCCGCTCTAATCTGTAAAAATGATTTAGCCTTCCATACACAATGTTATTAGATATCTTCGATGTTAAAATTCTGCCTATCCTTAGGTACGGTACAGAGGGTTAGGGGTTCCATTCATCGCCTGACGTTGCTAGGGTTCATGATAATTTCTGTAAAGATGTTTACACCTAATTTGGTAGCTAGAGGCGAGCTTGGTTGACATTCTTTCCGTGCTCATCAGTATGTTAAGATTATTAAATATTGAGTAAGGTTGTTGTTTCAATACGATAATGATATTCTACGAAAGGCTTATAATTATCAATATGGTTTAGCGGAAGCTGGGAGGAAGTGTTGGGCATTAAATGTTAAGAATTTGTTGTTTAGCTACGTTCGGTTACGTGTGGATGAATCAAGATACGGACTGCATTAACAGGGTTTGTTCAAGGTTTAAAGAAAGGTGCGTTGCTATAGTAATCAGGTTATTTTTAAAGATTATGTCCATTTTGCATTCTACCTCTGCATGGAATGTGACTTTTATACTAATCCTCGGAACCTGCTTCCTAATATTATCATTCTTCTCCGACTATTTATAAATTTGTATAATTTATGTCATCAGGCATTACTTCTCATTAATAATTCAGTTAAATATGTATTTCTGGCTTTCAAGAAATGCTCACGCTTTTTCAATTGAAATTAACAAAAACGTGTCATTTTACGACGTTTCATCATTGCTTCATGTCTCATGCTGTATATACCTGTATAATGGGCCGGTGGATCTCTTACGGAAAATAAACACAGTGTCAACTGGATTGTCTGGTCCAGACTCGACTATTTACAGACCGCCGCCCGCTGGAATATTGCTGAGTTAGTCGTAAAACTAAACTCACTCACTCACACTTCCTATCTGTCTGAAACGTTCTCACATGTAGTCGCTATCCGGCTCGCGGGACCATGAAGCCAAGGTTACTTGGCAAAATATTTTATTCACTGCTCTTTTGAAAAGCATGGGTTACTGACGAGATAATTATCATTCATTCTCCCGGTACAGGTAACGTTCATGGTGAGCATGGACAGGAAGATAATGTTATATGGAAAATAAGGAATTGAAGAATTTAAAACTGTAACTGAAGAGTGGAAAATGATTCGGTATAAGGAAACGAAATAGGATTTAATAAAGAAATAATGTCATTCATAACAAGTGTAGGTAGCCTTCTTCTGGAGCAGCAATATATATGAACACACAAAACATGTACGGTGACACTGTCAGATATTTTAGAGGCGTCACTGAGTGACAGGTATCTATTATATTTTTTGACGGTTGTTTATACAATGATTTATGTGGTTGCTTGAGCTCCTAGACTACTGAACGTAGTGCTTAGGGGAAAACTTAAATTCTTTCTGCTTTGAAATACAGTTGTTCGAAGCTTTTCAATCACCCGCGTCGTCGAAACATCGTCCTTGACTTTTTACAAGTGGTGTACACTTCCTCGGGCTCCCCAGTTTATATGTATTTAAAGATGATTATTTTCGACATCAGCACACTCTTCAATCGTCGCATGGTGGGGACAAACGTTTATTATTACTCCAACGTGTGTGTACCGAGAGAAGCGTCCGTAAAATACACAACACCCATGCGCGATGCGAGGTGACATTTTTTCCGTGGCCACATACCCTTGTGTCGTTGGTCAAATATTTCCCGATCAGTTTGACTATTAAATATTACTGTATAGTGTATAGGGTATTGCATTTCGGACGTTCGTACTATCTGTTGATTTGGAAGTATTTTAGCAACGATACAATGGCCTGTGGCGAGAAGCAAACCCGTAACGACAGATCAGGTGGTCTGGTTCACTGACTTTGATTCATGTCATTATATCCCAATTGCCCAGATCGATGCTCATGGTGTCAATCACTCGGTTGTCTGGTGCATAGTTTCACATTTTGTGTTACATAATTACATCACACGTGGCCCATACACTGAGTGAGTGAGTGAGTTTAGTTTTACGCCGGGTTAGAATTGATCTTCAGTAACCCATGCTTGTCGTAAGAGGATACTAACGGGATAGGGTGGTCAGGCTCACTGGCTTGGTTGACATCGTATCCCAATTGCGTAGATTGATGCTCATGATGTTGATCACTGGATTGTCTGGTCCAGACTCGATTATTAATTGGCCGCCGCCATATAGCTGGAATATTGCTGAGTGCGGCGTAAAAACCTCACTCATTCACTGTTATACGCACGGTCGTATTTATCATTCACACGCTCTTTTCTCACACCCCTGAGCTTTGGATATTAATGGGGAGTCAGTGCACACTCGGGTTTAATTCAATATATGTGTATAATCTTAAGAGTTTCTCATAGAGTCGCCCATGTAATTTGCGTACATCCAACCAGGTAATCTCTCCTCGTGGGAATTCACAGACAGACTTGGTCGCCCGGCACTAATACACATGTACTGTCGCGTAGAAGAATGTACACACCCATGTTTGACGGTGTTTAAAATATTTTTAAAAATGGAAGAAGAAAAACAAGAAAGTTGACGTCCATGACTTTCCTCTATTTATGCGTATCAATTCCAAATGCCACTCATAGACGTTTTGAAAAAAATGGCTGTTCCGCCATGCATTCGATACGGGTCACAAGTTTCGTTTTGGACCTTCAGTTTGGCGGTTATCAGCCCAGTAAAGGTTTGATAAGAGTTTTATTTTCTGGCGTTGGACTGGCGTTCACCCACTGTCACGACAGAGATACAAATTTCTGGGCAAATCTAAATTTCAAGCGTATACTTTCTTTGTCCGGCATTTTACGTAGAAGGCGACAAAGGTGGACTAGTGGTCACGTGACTTGGAGGAAAATGGAGTCACCCTGCAACAGTGACTGTTTGCTGCTCATGTTATCAATCACTGGTTTGTCGGGCCCATACTCGGTTGTCTGAGAGAAGTCGTGATAAAGCTTGAATGCTCATACACCAACGAAAAAAAATACAACTCCCTCACACGTAATCTCAAAGCATTTCGAGACTGCTTTGAATATAGCACATAGGATATAAGCTGCTCGTTTGTCAGTTATTGCACTAGATGACCTTTTTACAGGAGCGCGTATGGGCAGTTGCCTTTGTACGCGGTGAAGACACTTCGACAATAGGATAGGTCGAGTTGCCGGTACGCTGTTGTGAAATACCACGTCCTGTGACGAGATCTTTCACTGGCGTTCACCCACTGTCACGACATAGATACAATGCTACTTATTTTTTAAGCCTATTTTTCATTCATTATGTGGCGAGTTATGCAACATACAGTACAGTGCGATTTATATACACCGGCTTATATGTCCTAATGTCAAATTAAAGCCCGTGGCTGTCGACTTCCAGTAGAACAATTATGTTAACCCTTCAACTGTCACTTACACCGGCGCACTCGGGCGTGTCCAAATGACCTACTTCGGTGCACGACGATCACCAGCGCGGCAGACGACACGCTGAAGATTATGCGATGGCCGACTCAAAACAAATACCCGCTGATGGACATACGGACATAGAGACAGATTGTGAAGACGATGGAGGACCGTGTAAATGGGGACCGTTTAAGCCTGACTTCTGCCAGAGATTTAGAAAACCTGGCTGGGTGTTGTTTTGCCTGTGTTGGGTTGGCGGGCTTCAGGTAAGTGGCGTGTTTACATTCTTCATACTGGTCCAGGTGTAGCTAAAGTGTACACGTACATTTACCTCCGATGTCGTCTGCTCTCCTCCACCTCAAGATGAACATTTGTGTGAACTAGATGACACTGATTGTAAGACATGCGCTTATATAAAAATATCCGCACGTGATCGCGTGTACTGTAAAAGCAATGGCCGTACCTGCCATTCAGTCGGTAAATTCATTCAGTCGTGTAGCGGAGATACTCTCTGGTTATTTGCTTAAATTATTAAAAACTAATAGGGATTTTACTCAAGTATAATATTTGTTTGTGAAACAACCTACGCAAAAAACAGGACACGATTATTTGATGTTTAGACATTTAGAACAAGTTAAATTAAACTTTAGGTATAGCCTACGATTTTTTTATTGGTATAAAGGAATGTTTTGATTTACCCTAGAAAAACATTCAGATAAAACTACGGTAATTGATACAGAATATAGTTACTTGAACGTTACTTTGCCCCTAGGTTTATTCACAGTAGGTCTTTCGTAATGTAGATATAGTCAAGTCATCTCCTACATTGTACACTCAAGTCCCTACCATGTTGTTGTGGCCCACACTTACGTAATTACATCAGACATAACAGACGATACATTATGTCATTTACAATTAGATTTAGAGGTTACTAATGTCAGTGCAAGACGTGTATGTGGCGAGGGAGATCTACCTCACTGTTAAAGACGAGGATATTACACCCCTTACATCCTTCAGGCCCAGGGCTTATAACCAGCAGCCCGTCTTTGAAGCTACTGCTTTGACAAAGGTAACAAACAGGTTTAAGAGGCCGGGATTGCTGATGTGATGCCCAAGGGTCAAACACAGGTGATGCAGCCAATAATCAGACCGAATTCAGCCAATAACTGCAACATCTATTCATCCGGTACATCTGACTCTTATCGTCTGAAGACACTGTCAGTAGGAATGAATGTGATTTCTCACGAGTTGTACCTTTGTAGGGAATCGAAGTCGTTGGTGTGACGAGGTAACGCTTTAGTCACTGGGCTATCCGTCCGCCCTAGTTTCTCACGAGAACCAGTTCGTGTGTCCAACAGTTGTATGTATGTTTGGAGAAAGGGGTGGGTTGAGGGGAGGGTTAGAAATGAGTGTAATTGATATTGATGCAGTTGCGATTGATTGCTGTCATCGATGACAGGCAACACACATCTAACCATCCCTTGCAATCAATCACTGTGGTTACAAACAGGATATACATACTTTATATTTAACCATTCGGGAAGTTAACAAAGTCGCGACCGCCTCCGTGGTGTAGTGGTTAGAGCGTCCGCAGGGTGTGCAGGGTTGGCATTGCTTTGATTGTCTACAGGGTGTGTAGGGGTGGAGTGAAGACATTGCTTTGAATGTCTACCGGGTGTGCAGGGGTGAGGTGAAGACATTGCTTTGAATGTCTACAGGGGTGTGTAGGGGTGGGGTGAAGGCATTGCTTTAAATGTCTACCGGGTGTGTAGGGGTGGGATGAACAGGGGTGTGTAGGGGTGGGGTGAAGGCATTGCTTTGAATGTCTACCGGGTGTGTAGGGGTGGGGTGAAGGCACTGCATTGATTGTCTACAGTGTGTAGGGGTGGGGTGAAGGCATTGCTTTGATTGTCTACAGGGTATGTAGGGGTGGGGTGAAGACATTGCTTTGAATGTCTACAGGGTGTGCAGGGGTGGGGAGAAGGCCCTGCTTTGATTGTCTACAGAATGTGTAGGGTGGGGGTGAAGGCATTGCTTTGAATGTCTACAGGGTGTGTAGGGATGGGGGTGAAGGCATTCCTTTGAATGTCTACAGGGTGTGTAGGGATGGGGGTGAAGGCACTGCTTTGATTGTCTACAGGGGTGTGTAGGGGTGGAGTGAAGACTCTGCTTTGATTGTCTACAGGTGTGTGTAGGGGTGAGGTGAAGACATTGCTTTAAATGTTTACAGGGGTGTGCAGGGGTGGGGTGAAGGCACTGATTTAAATGCCTACCGGGTGTGCAGGGGTGGGGTGAAGGCACTGCTTTGATTGTCTACGGGGGTGTGTAGGGGTGGAGTGAAGGCATTGCTTTGATTGTCTACAGGGTGTACAGGGGTGGGGTGAAGGCACTGCTTTGAATGTCTACCGGGTGTGCAGGGGTGGGGTGAAGGCACTGCTTTGATTGTCTACAGGGGTGTGTAGGGGTGGAGTGAAGACACTGCTTTGATTGTCTATAGGGGTGTGTAGGGGTGGAGTGAAGGCACTGCTTTGAATGTCTACCGGGTGTGTAGGGGTGGGGTGAAGGCACTGCTTTGATTGTCTACAGGGGTGTGTAGGGGTGAGGTGAAGACATTGTTTTGAATGTCTACCGCGTGTGCAGGGGTGGGGTGAAGGCATTGCTTTGATTGTCTACAGGGGGGTGTAGGGGTGGGGTGAAGGCATTGCTTTGAATGTCTACAGGGTGTGTAGGGGTGGGGTGAAGGCACTGCTTTGATTGTCTACAGGGGTGTGTAGGGGTGGGATGAGGGCACTGCTTCGATTGTCTACAGGGTGTGCAGGGGTGGTGTGAAGGCATTGCTTTGAATGTCTACAGGGTGTGCAGGGGTGGGCTGGAGGCACTGCTTTGATTGTCTACATGGGTGTGTAGGGGTGAGGTGAAGACATAGCTTTGAATGTCTACCGGGTGTGCAGGGGTGGGGTGAAGGCACTGCTTTGAGTGTCTACAGGGGTGTGTAGGGGTGGGGTGAAGGCGTTCCTTTGAATGTCTACAAGGTGTTTAGGGGTTGGATGAAGACATAGCTTTGAATTTCTACAGGGTGTGGAGGGGTGGGGTGAAGGCACTGCTTTGATTGTCTACAGTGTGTGTAGGGGTGGGGTGAAGGCGTTCCTTTGAATGTCTACAGGGTGTGCAGGGGTTGGATGAAGACATAGCTTTGAATTTCTACAATTTGTGTAGGGGTGGGGTGAAGACACTGCTTTGAATGTCTTCAGGGTGTTTAGGGGTTGTATGAAGACATAGCTTTGAATTTCTACAGGGTGTTCATGGGAGGGGTGAAGGCACTGCTTTGATTGTCTACAGTGATGTGTAGGGATGGGGATGACGACTTTGGTTTGAATGTCTACAGTGTGTGCAGGGGTGGGGTGAAGGCACTGCTTTGAATGTCTACCGGATGTGCAGGGGTGGAGTGAAGACACTGCTTTGATTGTCTACAGGGGTGTGTAGGGGTGGCGTGAAGGCACTGCTTTGAATGTCTACCGGGTGTGCAGGGGTGGGGTTAAAGGCACTGCTTTGATTGTCTACAGGGGTGTGTAGGGGTGTTGTAAAGGCAGTGCTTTGAATGTCTACAGGGTGTGTAGGAGTGGGATGAACAGGGGTGTGTAGGGGTGGGGTGACGGCATTGCTTCGATTGTCTACAGGGATGTGTAGGGGTGGGGGTGAAGGCATTGCTTTGAATATCTACCGGGTGTGTAGGGGTGGGGTGAAGGCACTGCTTTGATTGTCTACAGTGTGTAGGGGTGGGGTGAAGGCACTGCTTTGATTGTCTACATGGGTGTGTAGGGGTGAGGTGAAGACATAGCTTTGAATGTCTACCGGGTGTGCAGAGGTGGGGTGAAGGAACTGCTTTGATTGTCTACAGGGGTGTGTAGGGGTGGGGTGAAGGTGTTCCTTTGAATGTCTACAGGGTGTTTAGGGGTTGGATGAAGACATAGCTTTGAATTTCTACAGGGTGTGCAGGGGTGGGGTGAAGGCACTGCTTTGAATGTCTTCAGGGTGTTTAGGGGTTGGATGAAGACATAGCTTTGAATTTCTACAGGGTGTTCATGGGTGGGGTGAAGGCACTGCTTTGATTGTCTACAGTGATGTGTTGGGATGGGGATGACGACTTTGGTTTGAATGTCTACAGTGTGTGCAGGGGTGGGGTGAAGGCGTTCCTTTGAATGTCTACAGGGTGTTAAGGGGTTGGATGAAGACATAGCTTTGAATTTCTACAGGGTGTGCAGGGGTGGGGTGAAGGCATTGCTTCGATTGTCTACAGGGATGTGTAGGGGTGGGGGTGAAGGCATTGCTTTGATTGTCTACCGGGTGTGTAGGGGTGGGGTGAAGGCACTGCTTTGATTGTCTACCGGGTGTGTAGGGGTGGAGTGAAGGCATTGCTTTGATTGTCTACAGGGTGTACAGGGGTGGGGTGAAGGCACTGCTTTGAATGTCTACCGGATGTGCAGGGGTGGAGTGAAGGTACTGCTTTGATTGTCTACAGGGGTGTGTAGGGGTGGCGTGAAGGCACTGCTTTGAATGTCTACAGGGGTGTGTAGGGGTGAGGTGAAGACATTGCTTTGAATGTCTACCGGGTGTGCAGGGGTGGGGTGAAGGCACTGCTTTGAATGTGTAGAGGGGTGTGTAGGGGTGGTGTGAAGGCATTGCTTTGAATGTCTACAGGGTTCGTAGGGATGGGTGAAAGTATTTATCTGAATGTTTAATGTGTCGGGCTGGTTAGGATGTGAAGTAAGCATTGATTTGAATGTTTACCGGGGTGGGGTAGAGAGGGTGTGGGGGTTGTCTCACCGACGTCTTTTTCTGAGCCATCAATTTATTTTGTTTTCACTACTGAAACAACTGAAGCTTGGTTGAACGAAAACTCCCCCACCCCCTACACCACCATAGACTATAAATGTTTGCTCCAAAAGGCAACTGGTATGCTTAAGCGATTACACCACTGTGTTAACTCAACAGGTAATACAACATTAAACGATTACTGTACACGAAAACATTCATCCCGGTCTAAAGCAAGAACTGGAGCTTGAGGGGAATAGTTCATTTCGAGGACATGTGTGAAATATGTCAGTTTACATTTCTATATTAGGGAATAGATCCTGTGTGTTTGGGAAGGTCATCCGCGGGAACTTATAGCCCTCGAGGGTTTTCTTCAGGGTTTAAACTCCGGTGACTCGCAAACACGATATGTATACAGAAAACATATTATGGCTGAATATACCTGTACACATAT